AGATGTCCTAACCTCAAACTGCTACTTAAACATGAATATTGCCCGAAATAATTTTCTTGTTCTCCCTGCTTCAAGGTCCCCCTTACCCCATGTGCAAAGATTGTGAACCCAAACTAGTCCATCAGGGTGAGGGGCAAAGACATAAAAACTGAACTGACTCCTCACTCAGTGTGTTCTGCCCATCAGACTATGGTCTGTGACTGCACCCATTTGCAGAAGTAAAACTTTTCTTTTTGCCTTGCTGAGCAACTCCCAAGTATTTCTTTGATCACATTCCTAAAAATTTGGCACCCAACATGGGGCAAATTTTGTTGCCACAGGGATCACAGGGACCTCTTTCTCAGAGGAGACACGACCTGCTGCCTAGTTGCTGTAGCCTCAGAGTGGGGAGATCTGCCATCCCTGGGCCAACACTGGACCCAAGGTTGAGAGACACTCAGCAACGTGGGGAAGGAACCCTTATAAAAAGCACTTCAGTGGCCAGGGCAACTTTGCACAGACCAAGGTGAGGATATTTCCTTGGTGGCCTGGACATCCTGGAAGCTGTGTGGGTATGACTGGGACTTGTCTCAGACACAAAACAAGTGCTAACTTTGGACGAAAAAAAAGCACTTTGGGTAAAATACAAAAAATCTCCAGTACTGGGGGACTGAGCTTTTCCCAGGGAAACAGACACAACCAATGTTAAGGGATGGGTAACAAAAATTCAGTTCCAAAGAGGGAGAATCACAAGAGAATAGATGCATCATCCACCATTCCACTGATAGCCCTCTGAATATGGTTTAAAAAGGTTTTTGCCGAGAGTGCACTCTAATTTTTTTGTGTGTCAATTTGTTTACAGCATTGAGCAAAATTTAATTTGCTCCTGGGATTCCAGCTCATCTTATGCGCACTTAAATTGAGTTTTTTTCTGGCATGCTTAAAGATGCATGCACGTGCGTGTTGTAAGCATCTTCAAAATGGTTCATCTTCAAAATGGTTCATTATAACATTAACGTGATATTCAAGGTAACAAAAAATACAGGGTGTTTGTGTTAAAGACTGTTTAACAGGGTGTCTCTGTTATAAACTGCTTAAGCTTTTTACATACGAATGTAAACATCTTGAGGATGGGTTCTTATTGTAGAGTCAATGAAAAAAAATTGTTACTTTCACTCTGTTCTACTGTTACTTTTAAGAAAACAAGTTTTCAAACTTATTTCAATCAGGTCTCACTAGGATGCAGGCATTCAGGGGTTAACACTCCAGCTCAGACCAGAGGAGAATAAAGAAAAGGGGTCCACACAGCCTGCAGCAGGAATCTTGGAATTTGGGTAGTTAAAAAAATGACCTTAGCCTATTTCATTCTATTGTAAATAAAATCTGGGATTTAATTCTCTCTTATAATACATGGATCTATTAACAAACGGGCTTTCTATAAATTGTTTTTATACAAAAAATAATTTTAAGGTTACTTTCTTTCTGGTTTTTCCATACAAATATAAGGCTGTAAGTTAAAAGGTTTTATGTGTTTTCAACAAGTAACAAAAAATATAAAAGGTATTAAAGATATGGTTTTTTAAAAATAAGAGGTTAAAAATACTTCAAAGTAAAAAAAAAAAGGCTTATATAAAGAAAGGTTTGTCCTCAAAATTGACTCAAAATAACAAAAGAAAGGATAAAGACAATCTCCCCCAGGGGTTATAGAGTAAGTTGCCATAAAGGTACAGAGTAAGTTGTCATAAAAAGATGGAGCTTACAAATGTTTATGTAAGTGACTTAGATTTTGACTAAAATCTAAGAGTTACATTAAAGGTTTTGTAAGGTCAAAATTTAATATACTGATGTTAAAGTAAAACTTAATTCTCTAAGCTCATAACAAGTCTGTCTTAAAAATATTGTTTTGTTCTTGGTAACATTTACAAAAAAAAAAAAAGCCAAAGTGCACCCTCCAAATAGGATAAAGGGAAAACTAAAAAATGAGCACTACACTGGAGGTTAAGACCTCCAGTTTTTATTGGAGTCAACAGAGACGTATTAGTCCTACTCCTTCCTTCCACATGGCAGGCAGAAGGAATTTTTGTCCTGGGATGGGCAGATTGGGCCTGTTATTTTAGGGGGGCTCCATTTAACACAGGTTGGTGAGATCCTGCTGTATGTCATGAGCCATCTGTTAATGTCAACAACCTGGGATGTGATCCCTTATCAACATCTGAGCCCTGATTCTTGGCCATTAGGTTTCCTAACTTCACACTTAGTCCCCATAATATTTATCTGTGTTTTCTGTTTTGTCAGGGTTTTGGCTACTAAGGTAACTGAGCCACAACTTAAGAAAAAGTTCACTGAAGAGTTGGTTTATGTAAAATCTTCTAGATGACCTCATAATTATGTTGAACAACTGTTGTCTTGGGTGATTCTAATGCAGTCATTACTTGTATGTGTCTGTGACTGGGCTATCTGGGGTCATTAACACTGTCCCCCTCTCCAACTGATGGGAAAAATCTAAGGTTGTACTTCAAGAGTAATAACTAAATTATATACATACATATATATGTATATATGTGTATATATGTGTGTGTATATATACATATATATATAAAACCTCTATAGAATTGTGATGCTGTTGCTGGCTTCTATCTATATCTATCTATTTATCTATCAATCATTTGTGTTTTCCAAGTATATCAAGCCTTTTAAAATACAAAGTTTATATGAACACTGTGACAAGAAGTTAATGGTACTGATATACTGTTCTGTTAGTTGCTAAACTGTTCCTCAGAATTTTAACCATGGCTCTTTTAAGTTTTTGTCATTACGGTTCTGATACTTCTGGGGCATTTACAATCAAGTCCATAAAAAATGACTCTAATGAGTACTTATGTGTCAACCAGGTTAGCTTTTTGGATTTCTGCTTTTGTTGGATTTTTATATTGTCCTTGTCTAGAAGCACAGTGCCTAAGAGTTACTCCTTGTAAGCCTCTTTGTTGCTTAAATTTGGCCAAAAGGGTCTAGTTGGCACTGACTCTCACCTGATCTGCTTGTTACTTCCACATGGGACCAAAAACAAAAAAAATCTAGGAAAACAAATCCTCATAATGAGGGACAAAAATAACAAATTGAGAAAGATCTTTAGTCTATACCCTAACACCCTGAATGGCCCAATCTCATCTGATCTCGTAAGCTAAGCAGGGTCAGGCCTGGTTTGTACTGGGGTAGAAGGAATCTTCAAAGGAGACTACTCAGAGACAAGGGGGGAATGCTGTCAAAGTTCAAATAGAGTTACTGGTGCCAGACCTCTCAAAATAACCAGTTGAGAGAATTGAGGAAATGGTTCTTATGCATGTGTGGCTATCTGGCATCAAAACCCTTCCAAGCACAAACTCATATTTCTAGTTAGGGTCTTCTAAAATAGAGACAAATTGACTATTTTTACTGGCTCTAGATATGTCCTTTGAAAAAGATGTTGTTTTAAATTTTTTTAAACAATGGTTTTTTTTTTTGTTGGACATATATAGGCCCCTCATTTAAACTGTCATGAGACAAAGTAACTACTGATAATGTATCGTTGCCATGGTAATTCTGCAGACAAGAAAAATGGCAGGTTCAAACATTAAAAAAAAAAAAAAAAAGCGTACTACAGCCAACACCTCCTGCCACAAGTATGAGAAAAAAAAATTTAATTCTTGACTACTGTTTCTAACCTGGTTCCTCCCTCTACTTAGCCCCTGGTCTTTTAATCTGCTTGTCTAGTTTGTTTCTTCAGGGTTGGAGACAATCAAGCTCCAGATGGTGATGGAGACAAAGCCACACACACCAGAGATATCTTCCTGATACCATGGACTCCTTGACAGATCCTCTTGATATCCCAGAAGAGACACTGACTGACTGTTGAGGGACCCTTTGAGTCAATGCTCCCTTTCCTGACAGAAGTCAGGGTTACCTCTGGAGGGGGAGAATATAAGGAGAAAAATATAAGACAAAATAAAATGACAAAAATGTCCCTGGGGATATAAATGTAAAGGGACAAATGACAAAAGTAACTTTGTTTTAGGTAAAGGGGACAAAAGGACAGACTTAAAAAGAAAACGGTTAAAAAGACATGAAAAACCAGCTTCGCACGCAGAAGCTGAGGCACAACAAACCCTCCCAAAATAAACAAAAAGGGGTCTCACCAAAATAATGAGTAGTCATAAAATACAAGTAAAAAGCCTCCAGAACAGGATGGACTAATGAGGCCCTCTTGGAATGTCCAGTCTGATATGGCTAAGGGCAACTTTTGGTTAAGTGACTTAACCAAAAGTCACTTAATACTAGCTAAATTAAAAAAAACTGTAAATCAAAGGGTGGAATTGCCAGAATTAACTAAATTCATGTCTTTTCTGTCAAAGGAAGTTAGTGTCTAATTATCGTCGTGTAGAAGCCAGCCAACCTCTCCAAAATTGCTGCCTACGTGCTTTGTGAAACGTTGCTTGACCTTGCAAGGTTCTTGGTCAATGAGCTGTTTGTCCCCAGATGTCCTAATCTCAAACAGCTGCTTAAAGATGAATATTGCCCAAAAGAATTTTCTTGCTCTCCCTGCTTCAAGAGTCCTTTTTACCCACGTGCCCCCTTTTCTAAGTAACCAATGGCAAAAACTGTGAACCCAAACCAGTTCATCAGGGTAAGAGGCAAAGAGATGAAAACCGAACTGACTCCCCATTCAGTGGTTCTGCCTATTGGACTAGGGTCTAGCCTGCACCCTTCTGCACAAGTCAAAGTTTGCCTGGCTGAGCGACTCCCGGTTAGCTGGGAAGGGCATTTCCAACACAGGTAGTTACCTCCAGAATGGTCAGGAGCAGGCTTAGGGGGATAACTTTCGACCTGGGACCAGGAGGAAATGTCTGGGAGAACCACAGCCTGGGAGCCTCCGTTTGCACATCTGTGAAACGGGCAGACGCCCCGCGGTGTGGCAACGTGCAGAGGGCTGGGCGAACCGGCCTGGGGGCACGACGCCCACCCACGCTGGCTCCCCGGGCCGCGCCCCGCGCCGGCCTCGCTCCCCAGCCCTCCCGCCGCGGGCCGCCGAGGCCAACCCCGGGCGCCGAGAGGCGTGGCCGGCCCGCAAGGCCTCGCGGCAGCCATGGCCTCGGTGGTGGAGTACAAGGGGCTCAAGGGCGGCTACCACTGCGGCTACTGCGACTCCAGGGAGGGCAAGGCATCGTGCGGTGAGTGTCCGGTCGTCGGGACTGTCGCCCATCCGTGGCAGGCGCCCGCTGCGCCCCGGACGGCCCTTTGCGAGTTGCGGGGGGCGGGAGGGGGAGAAAGCGGCTCCGCAGCCCATTCCTGCTTCACTTCCCCACTCGTCTCTTCCCCGCCAGTTTCCCCTCCCTTCCCCTCCGTCTGGCAGCCTCACTCTCACGGATGATGGCAGCCCCTCGCAGAGAAGGAACGGAAATAGCGGAAAGCCGCCCTCGGTCAAGATGGCGCGGGCGGCGTCAGCTGCGAGAGGCTCCCTACCAGGCTGGGCCAGCGGGAGCCCGAGTGGCTTCGCGCGAGCTTCGGAGGCGCCCGGGCGCAGGCGCGCTGCATTGTGGGGCGCTGGCGGCGGCGGCGGCGGCGTTGGCGGCGGCGTTGGGCCGGGCGGTGGAGCGCTCGCCGGGCTGAGACCATGGCTTCGTGGAACGCGCTTTCGCCCAGCATCGTTGAGTATTTCGAGGGCGAGGACTTCTACCGCTGTGGCTATTGCAAGAACGAGTCGGGCAGTCGCTCCCATGGTGAGCGAGCCGGGCCGGCGGGCGTGGGAAGCCGGGCGCCGTGGCCCCCTGTCCAGCCCCGAGCCTCGGGGACGCCCTCGGGAGGGCCGTGGCCGACAGGGTCGAGGCGGACTCGCGTCTGACTCGGAGGGAAGCTCCTCGGTGCCTGTCTTCGGGAAGAGCGCTCGGGTCTGCAGGCGGATGCCGTCACTGGGACACGCGGGTCCCTAACGAAGGTTTTGGGGATCGCCGTGCGTGGAGTCGGGAGTCGCCGGCTTGCGTCCCCGGGAGTGCGTGCGCCACTCGGGGTGCAGGACGGTCGGGGTGTGCGGCTGTGAGTGGGGGGCGTGAGCGCACCTGCGCACCATCGGAAGTGGATGGAGTGTGTCTGGAAGGGGACATCATAAACTGGTGGCCCTCGTCGTGGCCAGCCAGGGGACCCTGTTGTCCGCATTTGTTTTGTTTTGTTTTAAATTAGATTCTCACGCTGTCATTCCTACGCCCACCTCGCCGGCCGACCACAGCTTGAGCCCATAGTTTTGTTGTTCCATCGTGATTTAGGTCTCTTTGGGAAGATGTGTTGTTTGTAAACAAAACGCATTTTATGTATTTCCTGCTGTGTCATGCTTTGGCAAAGAGGCAGTGTTGAATCTGTTCTTTTAATAGAATAATCCGGCATCGTGGGAAACGGGATAGCCAGGGGAATGTAAATTTAGATTAAGCGTTTTTCCATTTTAGACGTCTCGGTAAGTGGGGAATGGCCTTGTGGACTATGGTGTGGCCATGTGCTTACTTCCTTCAAAGTGTTTGTGGGATGCTGCTTTCGGACAGCGGTCCTGGGTAGACAGTGATGCAGTCATTGGAAGTGTCGGTTATGAAGAGCAGATAAGTGGGAAAAGGCTTATAGGATAGGGTGAAACAGAAGAGGACAGGGCACAAATGCGACAGTTCTGAGAGGAGCAGGGCCCGGGAGCCGCATGTCAAGTAGTGACAGGTTGCCCGGGAGTGATAGAGCCCTTCCTCCTCTTTTTCAGAAGTTTTGTATGGTGACTCTAATAGCTATATGATCAGAAAGATGTATTAAAATAATATTTTAATAGAATTTTTTCCAGTAATTTTAGTAAGAAAATTAGCTAAAATAAGTGTGTTATAAGTTTTGTTGAAGAAACCTGCCTTCAATCTTTTCATCTAGAGAAGTAAGGATAAATTTCTGTCATTTCCATTTTAATTTTCATAATCTTTACTATATGGCACCCATCGATTGTGTAGGTATGACCCCAAAAAAGTTGCTTTCTAGTTCTCCCAAAGAGATCAGTTTAGTAGATCAGTTATTAAAGTTTGAAGGTGTGATGCAGTCCAATTGCAGTGAGGATCTAGATTTCTGATGTCATAAGGACTATTGACTAATCCTTGATCAAATGTAATCACTTTGAGGTATTTGAATTTTTATTTAAATATATTTTAGTTTTCATTTGTGTTGAATACTGTGTCAATGTAGCAAGTGTGAATATAAAATTTTCATTTCTCCCATGTGAATGTTTTAGAATATAGCCTATTCATTTTTCTAAAAACAGCACTTTGAAGTTAACAAAGAAGAAAACTCAACTTGCTATAATTAACAATAGCACTTATTTTTTTTAGGAATGTGGGCACATTCCATGACAGTCCAGGATTATCAGGATCTTATAGATCGAGGATGGCGAAGGTAAACCTAGACACTTTCTGCTGTTGGTCGGTTTCTTGTTTTATTTTTCGCAGTGCTGGTGATAAAACCCAAGGCCTCATACATGCTAGGGCTCGGGTTCTTTTTTTGGCAGTACTGGAGTTTGAACTCAGGGCCTTTTGCTTAGTAGGCAGGTGCTCTACTACGTGAGCACTCTGCCAGCCCTTTCTGTATTGGGTTTTTTTAAGATAAGGTCTTGCTTTTTCCCTTAGATAGGCCTCCTGATCTCAGCCTCCTGAATAGCTAGGATTATAGACATTAGACACTGGTGCCCAGCACATCAGCTTCTTCTTATAATTGGAAAATTAGGTTTGCTTTTAAAATACTTTCTTGTGTTGCAAAGAGGTTGAAGAAAATGTTTATAATATTCTTTCCAGGTATAATAGGACATACTTGTAAGTCCAGCATTCAGGAAGGAAGGTCCTGAATAAGGAAGATCAAAAGTTCAAGGCTAGCCTGGGCTATAATAGGGAGACCCTGTTTCAAAAAAAGAGAGATTGAGAAGAGAAAATGTTTATTATGTTCTTTTACATAGTGATTTTTTTCTCTTAAAAATTTATTAGGAAGACTAAAATATATGCAGAAGTAGAGAATACTTTATAATCAATCTTAGAGCCAATCACTAATCTTCAGCAGTTAGTAAAATTCTGCCCATCTTGTCTCATTGATTCTCCTTGCCTTCCCTCATCTCCACTTCCAAAGCGCTTTACAACAAATTACATCTGTAAATTATTATTACAGATAGCATATTGATAAACTTGCAATAAGTATGTATCTCTAAGAGTGAAGGAATCTTTTTACCTTCTTTTTTAAGTGGTGCTGGGGATTAAACCTGCTAGGAAGTGCTCTATCACTACGTCTCAGCTCTCTTGTTTCTTTTTTAATGTGTCCATAATCATCTTTATCATACATTATGAAATCTATAATAATTCTTTGATGTTTCCTGTTACGTAGCTTTGGTGAGCGTTTTCTGGATTATCTCAAAAATCTTTTTTTTTTTTTTTTTTTAAGCAGTTGGTTTATCAATTCCATTAAGGTCCAGGCATTGCCTTTTTTGGGTAGTTATTTTTATAAACACAACTATTATGTAACCCTTAAGAAATCTTTTTTATGTAAATATGAGCATTATTAAGTACTTTTATGCCAGTATTCTCCAAAACATACGGGGTGGAGTGTACCACTCTAAACTGTTAACAAGGTTCTTAAATTTAATAGTGAGGCTCAAGGTGTAGGTATAGGCCAGGTGTTGAGGACTTTATGTGCCATGATAAGGGACTTTTTTTTTAAAGGTAAAATGTAGCCATTGAAGGATTTTATAAAAGAGAGAAGCATGACGTAATTTGTTTTGGAAAGTATGGTTTAGATGGCAGAGAGATATATGAGGGGGTATCCTGGAGTTAGGAGGACAGAGTTCCAGAGATTATTGGTCTATCCATGATATGAAATGATGAGGACTGATGTTTGAGTGACAATGATGGTAGAAGGGGGGAGAAAAATGTAAGATACATTTTACGTGTGGAAATCTTGCTGATAAGAAATAGAGTCTAATTAGAGGAAGTGGTCTAAAATGACTCTTAGGTTTCTGGCTTGAGAACTGAGATCAAGACTGCCTAGAAAGAATCAGGCTAGTCTGTGGTACTTTGTGCTAGCACACGTGGATATTCCCACAACAGCATCCACAGCGTCACTGGCAATTTTTTTTTTTTTTTAACTGACTCCATGGTATTGGCGTATTGTTGGCTGGTGAGGCTATGAAGGGGTTGCAGATGCTGGTGAAAAGGTAATTGAGAGGATTGAGTTTGCAGTGATATATGTCAAGGTTTAGGAAAGAAAAGGCTACGAGTGGTCCTAGCTTGCCAGTTTATTGAGGTTATAAAGAACAGTTAAACCTAAATGTGTTTTTACACTATTGATTAGGTTTTTACCCTTAGTTTAGTTCTTCTCTACTGATCTATTTTGGAATATGTGAAAAGTGTGTAAAAAAATTAACAAACTATTTTTATAATTTTAGAAGTGGAAAATATGTGTACAAGCCTGTCATGAATCAAACATGCTGTCCTCAATACACAATAAGGTAAGGCTTTCAGTTAATTCAAAGAGGATCTGTAATATGAGGATTGTGTATAATTTTAAAGTGAACCTTACACTTACAAATGTTAATTTCTATTTTAATTAGGCGTTAGAAGCAAAAGAACACGAATTGTTTTTTTCTACATACTGGTGCTGTATTCGTATGCTGATAAGTAGCAGTCCCAGAACGCTCTTTTCCTTTTCTATTTTCCAGTCGCAGTCACCTTCAAAGCTTTTGATTCCTGTGGTTTTTCACCTATCTTTATCCCTGGGCTTCTCCCAATGAAAAACTAGGATTTAGTTTTCTTCTATTCCTGTTCTGCTGCCACATTCAGGCTCTTTTTTTTGTCCTCATCCTCAACTACCCATCTTAGAAGTATTATGATTTTGGATGGATGTATTCCCATCATTAACCAGAGTGACTGTGCTTCACATCTCAGCCATGTGGTATTATATGGTTACTTTCCTTGGGCAAGTGTTTGCTTTTGCTGGAGTTAATAATAGTCCTTTTTGTTTGCTTCATCTTTTGTGTATCTATCCCCAGTTTATTTTGAAACCCTCTCTCAGTTGTTGAGTTTTCTCCTAGCATGTATACATGTGTTAAGTACTCCATCACTTTTATCTTCCTGAAACTCATGGATGGAGTCTTCTTACCTGCTCTGATCTGGACAGTTTGCCCTACACACCTGACACATCACTGTTGTCCTGTGTTCTCTCTTTATTATCATTTTGGGAATTGTCTTTGTCTCTCAAGTTGGATGTCTGTGTCCTGTGTCTTCTGTCTTCTTTCTTGGGTTATTCCTTTGTTTTAGGGACGCACATCTCCTATTAGCTTCCTGAGAAAAAAATGCATGGTAAGTACATTTTTTGAGATTGTTGTATGTCTGAAAATGTGTTAACTGCTGAAACATAATTTAGAGTTTAGGTATAGAAGTGTAATTTGAAAGTAAGTTTTCTTCAGAATTTTGAAGACTTTGCTCTGTTATCTTACTGTTGTTTAGAAGTCAGGTGGCATTCTGTTCCTTGTTCCTTTGTCTAAAAATGTGCCCTTTGGATGTTTTTTGTCCTCAGTGTTTTGATATTTCATAATTTGGTTATGTATCTTTCCATCCATCACATGTGATAAGGGGTCCTTCTTGTTTGGAAGCTCCTCCCATTTTATCCTTTAGTTTGGGAAAATGTTTTTGAAGTATATTGCTGATTTTCTTTCTTTTCTTTTCCTATAATGCCTTTATTCAGATATTGGACCTTTTAGACTGGTCCTGTAATTTTTCCTTTTCAGCTTTCCATCTCTTTATTGAATTTTCTGGGAAATTTCCTTTATTTTCTAACCTACATAATTTTTTATTTCCTCTGTTGGTCTTTACTTCTTGGCCTCTTTTAGGAGGCAGCCTGTTTTTTTGAATGGCTGTAATAGTTTTAGAGAAATGAGATTTCTGTGAAGAATTTAAAAAAATGTAAAAAAAAATTTTTTTAAAGGTCTCCTCTTCCTGTATAATCTGCATCCTTCAAAGCTGAAGAAATTCAGTTTGTTTGGCACCTGTGTATAGCAGGGGCTCTCCTCAGGTGTTTAGTGATTCCACATTTTTATTGTCCTGCTGTGCAGTCAAGTGGGTCTTATTTTCTGTAGGCTTTGGGCAGAATAATCTGGCCGGGTATTCTGTTAAGGAATCCGTGATGTTAACAGTTTTAAGTCTGGCCACATTTTGGAGAGAAAGTGTAGTGTGCTGGTGTCATGGCTGAGCATTCAGTATGTAGACTTCATTTAAGCTTCTTCCTGTTTTCAGTGCAATGCATTTGCCATGTCAAAGGCCCTATCTTTTGCTCTTTCCTGAGGCCAGGTGTTGGGAGTCAACTATGCAGAGTAGGGTTGGGATCTTACATCTGACTGTCTTGGAGACAGATATTACCTGTGTTTTTAGACCCACCTTCACTTATATTTTCAGAGTACCAGGTAACATCAGCCTCTAAGAATTTTAGGGGTAATAATAGAGAAATTGTATCTTTTTGGCTTTTTCCATTGTTGGCCTAGGATTCAACTTTCTTTGGTGAGGTAAGTTAGTTATTACTTGTACATCTGCTTTTCAACTTCTAGCATGTCTTCCCTTGTCTTTTTCCTATGGCTTATGTATTTTTATTTTCTTTATTTCTTTTTAAATCCCTTAACTTTAGTTTTAGTGAGATTTGGAGTGAGGTGAGGGACTGCATTAAAAGCCATCTTTAATCAGAAATCCCAAGCATGAGATTTGCCTCAATGTCCTAGATACTATCCAGAACTTATTTTATTTAAAGCTTTAGTTCACTTTAAAAATATTTGTTTTCTTTCCTAGGTGCCGACCTTTACAGTTTCAGCCATCAAAATCTCACAAGAAAGTTTTGAAAAAAATGTTGAAATTCCTGGCAAAAGGGGAGATTTCAAAAGGAAATTGTGGGGGTAAGATGAGACCAGGTCTAAAAAGTATTTTCTTTAAATTGACATTTCTTTCCAGGGTTCCCACTTTCACACATCTCAAGTGAGGTTGGGGAATTGGGGTCACTACCATCCTGTAATTAGGACAGATGACAGCAACTACTATTGACACTGCTGTTATTGCTGCCACAGTCCCCTGGCTCCCCAAATCGAGGATATAGGGAATATGTGCAGGAGAGTCTTAACTTGGAAGAAGATACAACATAATTTTAAAGATGTTATGATTTCTTGGGGTTTATTGCAGTTCTCATTTTTCCAAGTGCTTTAACAAATCTTCCTCAACTCTAGTAATGTCCTTATGAAGTAAATAGAAAATGGGTCTCTGGAAAGACAGATGCTTGGATGCAGTGTGGACAAGATTGAGCAGTCACTATGAATGCTGAGTTAGGGTCAGGTTTTCTGTGTTTGCATATACTTTACTTCAGTAAATTGCATTGTCTGAAATTATGTTTCTTAGTTGTCTGATAAATTTTGAATTATGAGTGACTTTCCTAAAATATAATTAGTAGCATTTAATTAACTCTGGTTACAGATACCTTGCTTTTTCAGACTTCTTTTTACTGACTTTTCTCTTTTTAAACTTATCTTTAAGCTTTCCCATAAGCAGTGCCTCACATGTAAGCGTAAGAATTAGGAATGCCAGCCATTCTCAGGGCTCTTTCTCATGGAAACAGCCAAACTGAGGAGCCTTTTGCTCTGGCCTTATAACTCATTAATTCATTCTACAAGTGAGGTTTGAATACTTACAGTGTCCCGGTGACTTCTGTGAGCAATGGAAGAGCAGGTAGGAAAGTTCTTTGCCTCCATGCACAGCCTGGAATGGACTGGCATTCAGGACAACTTGGAGAAGAGTTGACAGAGCTGGGGGCAACAAAGAGGTCAGAAGATTTAGTCAGTGTCTTTTGGAGCATTGGAACTAACCAGAATTTTGGTGTGGCTCTGATTAATATTATCTGTACATAATCTTAAAATCATAAATTGATTTTGTTTGCTAGTCAATATACAAGTTTTTGGTGTCCGGAAGTCATGTTCTGATGTCTGAAAAGTAATGTGCAGATAAGTTTTGAGGATGCATTCCATTTGTAAATTGATGGTTGTCTATCTTTTCATGTTTGGCTCTTTATTTGACTCATTATGGGTTTCTAATTCTTTGTATCTGGAACTCAATTCATAGGAGTGCCATCCTTATTGGGGTAAAAGCATAAGTAGGTGTAATAAAGACTTCAAAATGCAATGACTAACTGATTGGTAACAGTCTGTTTTTTCCTCACATAACAGTCCCGGTCAGCCTGCAACCCTGCTCCCCTGAGCCATTCTGAGACTCCTCAACTAGTAATTTCAATGGTCACTATGTTTTTTCTTAACCTGGGCAGTGAGGAGGGGAAAAGGTGGAAGTCCTAGGCCATAATTTTTCTTTAAAACAAGTGAGACAAAATCAGGCATGTCAAGTGTGGTATATTCTGTTGTGAGGACTGGCTGTGAATTCAGCCTGGGTACCACAGGCTCATGTGTAGCTCTCTTGAATCGGAAAGCAGGAAGGTGGATTTGGTGGACACACAGCAGTCTCTGCCACAATGGATCATAGGACACTATAATCTGATACTTACCTGGACTGTGTCAAATAACCTGGCTGATGGGCTTTCATCTCTTCTGATTTGTAGATGAGCCCATGGATTCCACAATGGAGGATGCTGTTGCGGGTGACTTTGCATTAATAAATAAATTGGATATCAAGTGTGATCTTAAAACTCTCAGTGATGACCTCAAAGAAAGCTTAGAGAGTGAAGAAAAGAAGAAAGAAAAAAGCTCAAAGAAAGAAGAATCTAAAGAATTGAGTCATTCACAAGCCATAGAGGAAAAGCTGGGCTCTGGTGAACCATCATATTCAATCAAAGTTCCTACGGTTCCTAAGCCAGGTAGTGAGTGTTTTATATCAAGTCATATTAACTGCTTTTCTTTATGTGAGAGTCACTATAATTTCTAGGCTCTGTCATCAGCCAAAAAGATAACCTGCTCATGAAATCTGTAAAATAGAGCCCTTCTTATACACAACTTACTGTCACTCAGTTGAGGTGGACAAATCATGTCCTTTTTTTATGTTGTTATTTTTTGAGACATGGTCTTGCCATGCAGCCTAGGCTGGCCTCAAAATTTAGGATCCTCCTGCTTTAGCCTCCTGAGTGCTGGGAATACAGGAGTGTACTCCCATACAGCTCCAATCACATCTTGTATTAAAAAAATCTTTTTTTACTGCTTTGTATTTGTGAAGAGTTTTGAATCGGATAAAGGGATTTCATTGTTATACTGCCATAATGCACATAATAGACTTTGATCTAATTTACTCCATCTATTATTCTTTCTTATCCCCTCCTTTTTAAAACAATTTTTAACCAGCTTTATTATTCTGTTTTATACATGCAAATAAAGTATTTTGATCATAATCACCCCCCGCCTTCACACTTCTTCCTACTGCTGGTTCTCACCCTCAGACAGTCCTTCCTTTTCTCCTTTTTTACACTCATGCCATTTATTTAATTTATTTTTTTTTAGCTCTAGTCCAGTCATGTCTTTTAAAACTACTATGCATAGAAAGCCTAGAATAATCGTCTTATTTTCTCAAAATAAGTCCTTTTTCCTTAGACCTTAGTGATTTGAGAATCAAATTTTTATTAGTGAAAAGTTGTGATAAACATTGTTATTGTTGGCATTGAGAGACATTATAAATTCCAGATATGTCCAAAATACAGACATTGTAAAATTCTTCAGTTTATCATTAAAATTTTAAATGTACTTACAATAAATTTTAGTTTTAAATACCCACATTTTAATGTTTACTTCATCTTTAATATGGTAAGATTTTTTCTGTATTCTCACTTATAAAAGAATTAGTCTTAATTTTATCCACCGTTAAATGTATATATATATATGTATGTGTAATGTGTGTATTTGTGACTTTTTCAAAATTACTGTATAAGATGTGAAGTTGTGAATACTTCTTACGCTTCAGATTTTGAATTAGTTCTTATTTATTCAAAGTGGTACAAGGGAGAGATTTTTAGTATTTTAGTTTTTCTTGTCTTAAGTTGTGTTATGTATCTTATATAAGTTAAACTACACAATATTTTTCATATATATATTATATATATATATTCTTTTGCAGTGATGGGGCTCAAACCCCAGCGACTTGTGTATGCTAGGCAAGTGCTCTACCACTGAGCCACGCCCAGTCCCTGAGTAGTTTTTATACAAGGCTTTCATGGTATTTAATTAGATACTGGTCTGAAATTTCTTCCTAATTCATAAGAATATTCAACAGAAATACTGCGAATGATTTAGAGAATTTCAGTTCTTACTCTCTTGTGTGATGGAGTCAGTTCTTTCATATAGAAATCACAGTTTGCCAAATTAAAAAAAAATCACTGCTGAGAATTTCATATACAGACAAGTGCAGATTGAATACTATAATTAGCTTCTCTTTGTCCGGCTTTCACTTCAAGCATATTTATTTATTTTTGGTGGTATTGGGGTCAAGCTTGTTAGGCAGGTGCTCTGTCACTTGAGCCACATCTCCACGTCTTTCTTGCTTTACTTATTTTTTAGATAGGGTCTCCTGTTTTTGCCCAGGGCCAGCCTCCACCCTTGATCCTCCCACCCGCTGTCTCCCAAGTACCTAGTATTAAAGACATGAGCTACTGCACGTGGCCCTCAGTTACTGACTTTGATAGCCACTTTTGATTTATCTCTGCCTGAATATAGTTACCCTTCTAGTCTAAACAGAAGCAAATTCCAGTTATTTCCCATGTTATATTTCAAAACGCATGTCTAAAAGGTAGGAACTTTAAGCAGGGTGTGGTGGTACATGCCTGTAATCCCAGCACTTGGGAGGCTGAGGCAGGAAGGTCTGGAGTTCAAGGCTGGCCTGGGCTATACAGGATGATCCTATCTCAACAACAACAAAAAAAAAGATACAAACTTTAAAAACATACTTAGGATATCATTATTACACCTAAATAAAGTTCCTTAATGCCACTAAATATTCAGTGCTCAGATTCCAGTTTTCAAATATTTGTTTGTGTAAGTTTCACTTCCTTCATGCCCTTTTTTTACTTACACAGTATTGTAAGAGAACAGTTGTTTGTCTTATTCTGTATGTGACTGGTTACATCTGCAGTGCAATTTAACCTGTTTGGTTTTTTTTCTTTTTCTTTTTTTTGCCCTACTGTAACTTGATAGTTGGATCTAGAGCCTTTGATCAAATTCAGAGTTAAATTTTTCTTTTTATTTTTTTTTGGAGAGGGGCAAAGTCTTAATCAGATTGGGGAACTATTTGAGGACAGTTAAGATTACTTCATGGATGGCTGAGTCTCTTTCAGGAGATACATAATATCTGGAAGACTCCCTTTTTATTAGAACTAATAATAAGGTGCTCAGTGGCTAAATCGTTTTAATTCTGTCTTTCATTCCTTAGTTACTGGCTGGGATATTCCCATCAAGAAGCTTCCTCTATTTCTCTATTTCCTGTCAAAGAAAGGCAGGATACATTCCTGATGCTTTTTTTTTTGGTAGTACTGGGATGTAAACTCAGGGCCTCATGCTTGCTAAGCAGGTGCTCTACTCTACCACTTGAGCCACTCCATCAGCCCATTCTTGATGCTTTTTTAACCATTTTTCAAAATAACATCTAACAGTGAGCTGTTAGGTTTCTGTGGTATCATTGTGAATTCATGGATCTGAACATGTTTTCTTTGTGACATTTGATTGCTCCTATGACAGTTTTTAAAAACTGACTTTTGTGTTTTTTTTGACAAAATCCGCAAAACTGTCTTTGACAGCTTCTTTGCCATGATACTATGCTCCTGGATCATCTTGTACCTACATTTCCTTAGGCAGCCCTGGCCATTTTTTTTAGTGGGAATGGCATGTGGAGATCACAAGACTGAACTGGAAGTATGCATTGGTAGTGGTGTGGTTATTGTTTCCTGTCTTTTTAGTGAATGGACTTACAGACTCATGAGTTTATTGATACTTTTTTCTAAATTCATGACTGTAATATTGCATATTTTACATTTTTGGTATGTTTGTGTCTTCTATACTGAGAAACCTGGTTTTCAATGACATTGGGAACAATAGAATTAGATTGGAATATGACACAGCTACTCATTTGCTTTATCACACATTACACAATGGTTTTAGAGTAACAGTAACCTTACCTCTAGCAACGTGATTACGAAAATATTAAAAACATTTTTTGTCAGATGTGTGGGGCATGCTTGCAATCCCACTGCTCTGGAGGCTGAGGCAGGAAGATGGTTAGTTAGAAGCCATTCTGAGTCTTTGACTTAAAAAACAAAAGCCAAAATAAAACAAACATGGAAACAACAACAACAAAAAAAACTACCATTTTTTGTAGTTTTTTTCTCCCTTAGGATATCTCTTACTAAAAATCAGACTATCTTAACCTATAGGAATCTTCAGAACCTGCAGTTTATTTGTTATTTAAAAGATATTATAAATACTTTCCTTCAGACTTAATTAGAAATGATGCAGGTCTACTAGACTCTGTTCAAATCATTTGAGACTAACCCAGACTTCTTGAGGTGCTGTATCTCTGTAAGTGGTGTGCTGATTTTTCATTGATGGTCTGTTTCCACTCTGCCAAAGGTGATCGGTCTAAAATACCTGTGTCCCCTAAGTAAGCTGAAATCCTAACTCATTGTTTAGTGAGTAGCGTGGTGCAATGTAAATGTAAAGAAAAACAGTGATGATAACAATTGCTTAGTCCAGTGAGTGAATTAATGTGAAGATGACATAGGTGGTTTTTCAAAACAATCCCAAAATTTTCATTTCTCAGTTCACTCTGTATAATTTTATGATTTGCTCATAATTTCAAAACTTTGGTAGGTAGTATAATTTGGAGTAACTTCAAAAATGCAGGGTTTTAAAAAATTACTATTTATGGAATGCCTACATGAGTAAAAACTTATTTTTGGTACTGATGATACAAATAATAGGTAATAATAATAAGTCACCCTAATTGAATGGTGGATAACTACCTTATGAGCTGCAATGAATTAACTGTTTAATCCTCACAGCAACTCCATAGGTAGGTAGACTGATTATTACCTTTCTTGTACAGAAAAGGAAACTTTCCCAAGGTCACTTAGCAAAATGAAGAGCTGGTCCATGACCTTAGTCTTAACTGTTGTACCTCTCAGAACAAATCTGAGAAATGACATAGTCCAGAACCTAAGAAAATTAGTTCTAAAGGCAATAAAGTAATGGTTGGTTTCAGAATTAACTTTTTATTATCTGATTATTAGACTTATTAAAAGTCTTTTATAGGTAAACTTTGTTTTTAGTTAGAAAACTCATTAGGGAAATTGTAATGTGATATTACTGTTTGTGAATTTGTTATTCTCTCATTGAATTCATTTGAATTTCTTGGTCAATGAAAATTCCCTTAGCCAATCTAGGTCTTACTTTTCTGTATAAAAACTGAATTTTGCTGGCAGAGTGACCCAAGTGGTGGAGCGCCTGCCAAGCAAGTGTGAGGCCCTGAGCCCCAGTATCAACCCTCCCCACTTCAAAAAAAAAGAACTTGAATTTGGTGGGCGTGATGACAAACACCTATCATCCCAACACTTGGTGAGGAGAGGCAGGAGGATTTAGAGTTCAAGGCCAACCTGGGCAATATAGTGAGACCTTGTCTCAAACTCTGCCCACTCAAAAGCCCCTAAATTTGCTAGTCTTCTAAACTTTTCTACTAATAACTTTTTTTTGTGTGTGATTCTGGGGTTTGAACTCAGGACCTACACCTTAAGCCACTCCGCCAGCCCTTTTTTGTGATGAATGTTTTCCAGACGGGGACAGCGATCCTCCTGATTCTCCTACTTACAAAAACAGAAGAGTGGGTAGATTTTCTTTCTTCTTTCTTATTGTTGAAGTAGGGTTTCACTACATAGCCCAGGCTGGCCTGGAACTCAGGATCCTTTTCAGCCTCACTAGTGCTTGGGTTATAGACAGAACCACCGTGCCTCGCTAGTGGTTGGATATTTTAAACAAATAAAGATTGTGAACAATAAGAATGCCTTGAAAAGTTTTTCTCACTATTTGTTTCTTTGGCAACTCCTGTCCCTAAGGTAGAATTTTAAGATAAATTTTGGGCTTTATATCAGGACCTTGTGAAAATTGACCCCCGGAGCTAACCTAACTGTTGGAACTCTTTGGACTTAACTCTGTAGGCTCTTTGAGACTTGAAAAAAACCTTTCTAGAACTAAATGTCATTGGTTTAATATTTTGAAATTCCTTTCAGGCAAAGGGGCTGATTTGAGCAAACCTCCATGTCGAAAAGCAAAGGAAATCCGGAAAGAAAGGAAAAGATTAAAACTCATGCAGCAAAGCCCAGCTGGAGCATTTGAGGGTTTCCAGGCTCAAGGTCAGCCACCATCTCTGTTCCCACCAAAGGCCAAATCCAACCAGCCCAAATCACTTGAAGATTTAATTTTTGAATCTTTACCAGAGAATGCATCACACAAGTTAGAGGTACTTTGGAGGGTTTTTGTTACTTGTTTTGTTTGTTTCTTATTGGGTCCCTTGTTTATTTTCTTTGAAGTTGTCATTATTTGTTGATGTTTTTCTGTTTAAATAATGAGAAATTGAAGAGAATTGGGATGGCATAGTATTTGCATTTACTAAGTTAACTGCTACTTGACAAAAAAAATCCTGTTTTTTTTTTTTTTTGAAGAGTTTTGTATTAGGCAACTAGCTATTAGAATTGTAGTAGAAAATAATTCCACTTTTAGCATGTTATTAAGAAGGATGCTCTCGGTTTTTGTATTTCTTGATAGTTAAAACAGACAACATTCTTTAATATTTCATTTTAGAAAGTTAGGTAATAAAGATGGTTTGGGTAATGAAAGGCTAGGCCACACTGGGTCGATGACTGTTTTTGCCTGTTGTAATGTTCCGATGTTGGTCAAGGCAGCAGCTAGTGTCACATATGCAAGCCTGCCAGGTAGGAGTTAACTAAATGCGCTAAACCACACCACTAATATCCCCTCTCACTAAGTACTTCCAACAAGTGTAGGCATGATATAAATCTTTTAGAGCTAAGTACTCTTTTTTTTCCCAAATTGATTTATATTTCTAGATTAAATCAGATTTTTCAGTATAATTCTTCTCTTAAACATGAACAGTAATGATTTTAAAGTATTCTTACACCTGATAAGTAACTTACCAGTCTTTGAATTTATAGCTTAATATCATCTAAGAATATTAATGTTAATCTTTATACTAAAAATTAACTTGATACATTCTAAGTCTTAGGGCAATAGGTATATTATCAGACATAGATTTTATTTTAAGAGCTACTCTGATTTTTGGTATTTGACTTTTCTCTTTCCAGAATTGTAAAGAGAGTTGAATGTACCAAACATATTTTATAAAGAGGCTTTTATCTTTTGATCTTAAATTGTAGTATACTTAAAGAACTAGATACATGTCAAATCAATAGGCATTGATTTTTTTTGCATGTGTGTGGTGGTGATACTGGGTTTGAGCTCAGGGCTTCAAGCTTTCAAGGCAGGTGCTTTATTGCTTGGGCTATGCCTCCAGCCCTTCCCCCACTTTTTTTCCCTAATATAATGATAGAGATGTGTTATCCATTGAGTATCAGTCTTTCTTTGCAGAGAATATGCAATGGAACACAAGAAGTGTGCAGTTATGCCTTTATTGATTTTGTTTTACTATTCTGTTTTGCTAATACATTGTAACTGGTTAGTAAGTAATTATTGTCAAAAGAAATGTTAGCCATTACTGTGTGCAGTTGCCAACTTTATCCTCATTTTGCATACAAGCAAACTAAGGCACAGAGATGTTAATTTACTTGACCAAGATGACAACATAACATCTGAACAAAGGAAATCCAACTTCATTTTTATGCTGTGCTATGTAGGAACACTTTGTGAGGGCTTTTTTACACAGATGTAAATTTAGAGTTAGGAATGATGAATAAAAGTGTCCCAAAATATATTCACATTTTTTATTTTTTTCTGACTTATGACCTACTGAGGATGAACTGCATACTTCTAAAATTAAAGAGGATATATTTGTGTGTGTGTCATTAGTGCTGGAAGGGTCCTGCCATTTAGCATAGAGTTAGACTTACTTAATTCAGTCATCAGAGGTGAGGCTTAGAATTTGGAGGATGTAATTTCTTCATCTGCCTATTGATTTTTAATGTTACAGTATTTTATATGCTGTACTTTAATTATTGAAACTTGGTTTTTTGAGTAGGATTTACTGTTAATGCATATTCCACAGAATAAATAGGATGAATTAATGATAATTGTTTTTTAACCCCTTCTGAAGGTGAGGGTGGTGAGATCATCTCCACCAAGTCCTCAGTTCAAAGCCACATTTCAGGAGTCTTACCAGGTTTATAAACGTTACCAGATGGTTGTTCACAAGGACCCACCTGATAAACCAACTGTGAGCCAGGTCAGCAGGCCAATTGTAATTTTTCTGTACAAACAGAACTTTCCTCTCAATTTGCTATCGTTGTATGAAATCTTGGTTTATTTGTGCTACATTTCATTTATATTCAGTCTGCAGCATATCTGTACAGAGACAGGAGTCTGAGTTAATGGACATTCTGAAAGTGCAAATTTTACCTGTTGTCATGTTAAGTGCCAGTCATGTATAATTGCAAAGTGGAAATTAACTTGTAAAGTTATTTGTATATATGGTCTATATCTGGAGGATTCATCTGAAAGTTAGTAATAGAGCTCCAAATTTAAATACCTGTGAGAAATCTTTATATTTTTTATGGTAGGCATACTTTGCCCAACATGGCCAATATGCTTTATTCATATTTAAAAGTCATGTCTAGAAAGAGTTCATAGCAACTAAATTATTCTTAATATTCTACTGATGCACAACTAAGGGGGACTAGAAAGGTAAGATAGTAGAGTGCTTTAATAGATATCCTCCTGTGCTTATAATTTTATAAACCAGATGACCCAAGAAGAATCTGGAAGGGAAAACACCTTAAACCACTTAGTGCAAGTAGAGGTTGCAAAAGTAATGGCCTTGACCACAGTTAGCAGCAGTATTCCTTAGTACATGCAGATAACCACAACAGGTAGATAGAGGGAAAAAAAATAGAATAAAGCAAAAACAAAATATCCTGACCCTTGTGAGTTTAAGTATTGATGAAAAGTTAGCACTTCGGCTGTGTGCCAGTTATCCTGTTCCAGGGTTTCTTCTTCCCATGACGCATTTCATTGCTGAGCTTTGGAAGTGGATTTGTGGAGATCTTACTCTAGCCTCACCTTCAGAAGCATATCATAGGTAGAGTTGTTTCAATAGCATTTGCTTGTGTTTCCCTTGCCCTGAAGGTGAGGTTAGTACCTGTCTCCTTTGAGGACCCAGAGTTCAAGTCGTCCTTCAGCCAGTCCTTTTCTTTATATGTCAAGTATCAAGTGGCTGCACACCAGGATCCACCTGATGAATGTGGGAAGACTGAGGTACTGTGTGCTAGCGTGACTTTGTTATGTCGATGAGGTTGTGAAGGAGTGCGGTATACAGCCACATGACATCGTCTTGCCTGTTAAGTAGAGCCATGACACTACCAGTGTGCAACAGCTTTTGTGAAAATGACTCATACATGTGAGCATTTAAAGTCCTTCAGAAAAAAGGATTGCAAATTCAAGATTTACTCTTACACATTGTTCTTTCATGGAACCTGAATGCAGAGTGTTTATAGGTTCAGTGTCCAGCCTATGTCAGCAGACATTTACTACTGCCCAAAGGGTGCCAAACTATGCTACAGAGCAAGGGGAGTCTCTAAGGAATTGATGATCAAATGAGATAGAGAAACCAATAAAGCAAAAACAGCAAGAAGCTAATAGGAAGGGATTAAATATATTGAGATCATTATATAGAGCATTGTTTAATAAGCACTTATTGGGCCTGTATTTCTCGGGATATGTAATAGATGAGAAGGTGCATAGTTGTCGCACAGTAGGACAGTGATGTGTTTGAACAAAGGTACTAGCAGATGCAGAAGAATTAAAAGTTTTGATTTTTTTTTTAATTGCTTTCATTTGTTTTCTGTTTAATGACATAAAATGTGTAAGCTAAAGAGAAGATTAGTGAGATGAAGTTAATGCTACATGTTCCCTGAGAGAGGACTGACTTCTCAGGCTCCCAAACCCTTCTAATTAAAAGAGTATGGTCTGCAGACCAGCAGCATCAGCATCACTTGGAATGCAGAGTTTCTGGCCACCATAGCCCTACTCAGTCAGGATCTGCATTTTAAACTGAGTCTCCCGGTGATAGATGTGCACAGTACAGGTAGAGAAGTGTTGTTGTAGGTTACCTGTTGTGGGCAACAGCTATGGTTGACACCATTTACAGGGAATAAGGATTCTGCCAGGCCCTGGAAGTCTTTTTGATATTTTCAGTGGTCTTTCTTTTTTTCTGAACTTTACTCTTTCCTACTGCTCTGGAAGTTCAGGCTTTGTATCTGCCTGCTTAGCAAGTATGACTTAGTGGACAGAAATAATCTTGACATGGTCCAGTGTGTTCACTTGGAGACTTCCCCAGAAGTTTCTCTGTAAGCTTCACACCTCCATGTAGTCCATTCATGCAGGCTTAGTGCAGGGCTAAAACCATTCCATAGTGTGATTGAGGAGACAGGTGAGTAGGTCCAGTGCTGTTAAGAATGCAAGCTTAGTGTCAGGACTGGGGGTTAGAGAGGTTTTTCTGAGGGACATGACAGCTGAGCCAAAACTGGATAGAGGAATACATGTTTTTCAGGCCAAACATGTTCTGAGCAACAAGACTAGGTGTGGAGGTTGAAAATGTTTGAGGAGGTACTACGTAGTTAGTATGGCCAGAGTATTGGTTATGTTAGGAGGTGGTAACAAGTATGAGGTTTTGTAGATTTGGGTAGGGCCAGATTTTTTGTGGTACTGGAGTTTGGACTCAGGGCTTCACACTTACTAGGCGGGCTCTTTACTGCTTGAGCCATGCCTTCAGCTCTTTTTGCTCTGGTTATTTTTGAGATAGGATCTCGCTTTTTGTCCAGGCCAGCCTGGACTGTAATCCTCCTATTTATGCTTCCCTCTGTAGCTGGTATGACATGCTTACGCCACCATGGCCAGCTTGTTTCTGTTGAGACAGGGTCTCTCCATCTTTTAGCCTGGACTGACCTGGAGCTGTTATCCTCCTGATCTCAGCCTTCCACATAGCTGAGAGGGCAGACGTTGCTCTCTTGCCCAGCTATTGGTTGAGATGGCCTTGAACCTCGATCCTCCCAGTCTTTACCTCCTGAGAGGGCAGGACTACAAGTGTGAGCCACCACACCCAGCTGCAAATACCTGTCACTAAGTCTTCAACAATCTGCAACATGCTGTCATTTTTATTTATCTTTCCATACTTCTTTACTGTTATTATGCTGGATAACTTTATACTAAATCTCAAACAGCCTATCATTCTATCTGTAAGCACTTTTGTATGCACCCTAACTCACCATCCTAATGGTGCTGGGTATTGAACCTAGGGCCTTGCATATGCTAAACAAGTACTGTATACTGAGCTATATCCCTAGCCTTTAAACTGATTTTTTTCAGAGGGAATTTTACTTGTATATGCAATTTAGAACTTCTGGCTTTATTAAATACTGGAAATACCATCAGTTCTTTGTGTACTGCTTGTTGCCTCCCAGCACCAGTTTCTCTGTAATGGCTTAATTTCAGGCAGGCTGGTGGAGGTAGAGGAGGGTGAGTCACTTTAGGAGCCATTCTTCTCACAACTCTGAACATGTTTCTTTCCTCATGGTTTCAGTGAAAAGTCCCAGAAGGTACTGGTTGACCCAGCTTGGGATACATCTTATCCCTGAACCAGTGACCGTGACTGGGGTGATGAGGAACCCTGGTCATGCCCCACCCAAGAGTTTAGGTGGAGGAGGATCTTTACCTGAACCACATGATTACAAAGTGTGGAAGAGGCTCCCCAAAGCCCCCTCAAAAAAAGAAAAAGAAAAAAAGAGTGTAGAAGACCAGGTGTGGTAACTCACCTCTCTAGTCCCAGTTTGTTTGTAGAGATTGGGAGGATCATGGTTCAAGGCCCCAAAAAAGTTAGTGAGACCTCATCTCAATCAGTAAGTCAGGTATGGTGTTGTGTGTCTGTCATCCCAGCTATGCCAGGAGGCATAAATAGGAGAGTCATGGCTTAGTACCCTCTATCACGTGATATGTGGTCCTCTTTTACATTTTCCTTTTTTTTTTTAAATTAACATCTTTTCAGGGCTCATGCAGTACATTCTATTATTACATTATTTTAGGCTCTATTCTATAAGTTTTTGTCTTTAAGATTTTTTCATATTGACTTCTTTTCCCCAACTTTTTACTTTGGAACTTTAAAAAATTTTAAGCAGAAAAGTTGAAAGCATGCAATGAACATTCATTCACAAACTTCACCAAGGGTCATCAGTAAACAACTGTGTCAGACATGCTTTCCTTCTTCATTTGAATCTTTTGAAGTTAGGTTGTGGATATTGTGACACATCACCTATAAGTGTTAAGCATGCTTATTCTAAGAATAATTGTTCTAGATCACAACCTTATCTAGCAGTCCTTAAAAATTAACAGAAGTTCTTTAACATCACAAATTGGATTTTCATGTTCCCAGTTATACGCAATACATTTTATAGTGTTTAAGAAAAATTGTGGATCCAGGCAAGGTTCATACATTGCATCAGTTACTATTTCATGCAGTGCTTATATTTTGACTGTTAGGGGTTAGGTCATCTTTTTGATGACTGATGTATTTCAAAGAATCTAAGCTAATTTTCATATATTTTTATTATTGTGTTTATTATTATTTAAAATCATGGCTTACCACAATGCCTGATGAACAGTAGGTGCTAATATATATTGGTTAATATAGGTTTTTCTTTTTTTAGTTGTTGTTGTAGTGTGGTTACTCTTGGCCCCATACATGCTAGGCAACTGCTCTACCACCGAGGTACATTCCCAGCCTTGACTGAATTAGTTTTCCTTCTTTTTAAAAAAAATTAATCGTACAAAGGGGTCACACCATGACATTTTACACATGCATATGTTGTACACTAATCAGATTAACCCCCTCTGTTGCTCTCTTTTCCTCCTTCTGTCTCCCCAGTTTTTCAACAGCTTTCACTGAGTTGTCTTGTGTCATCTTCACACACAGACACAATGTAGTTTGAAAGCCGGCTGTCTTTGTTTTTTTTTAAATTTTTTAAATTTTTTTTTTTGTTGTTGCAACAGATGAATCTACATTGTCACCCTTCTTAACCACCCAAAATACATAGTTACGTTAGTGTTCATTCTTTGTGCTGAACATTCTGTGGGTTTTAATAAATGCAAAATGACATATCCACCATTATAGAATTATGCATACAAAATATTTCACTGCTTTAAAACCCCTCTGTGATCCACCTACTCACCACCACCCCTCAACTTTTGTCAAACACATTTATAGTTTTGCTTTCTCTACAGTGTTCTATATTTAGAATCATACAGTCTGAAGCTTTTCCACATTGGCTTCTCTCACTTAGTAATGTACATCCAAGTCTTCTCCACTTCTTTAGCACTGACTAACTCTCCATTGTCTGGATATAACATAGGTTATCTATCCACTCATCTCCTGAAGGAAATCTTTTTTTTTTTTAAATTAACTCGTACTTTTATTTCCTACAGAATGATTTTGCTACTTCCTTAATAATGACAACTTTTTGGCATTAATTTTATGCTAAATACAGCTTTGGCCATTTAAAATATGGACACATAGTGTTTTCATTTTCCTAACAAATTTGCAATACTGTTAGCTTTCCTTTTGAATCCAAAGTCCTTTAGAAAAAGTTTTGGTTCTGTTTTTTTTTGTTGTTGTTGTTGTTCATTTATTAACATGTGCATACATTGTTTGGGTCATTTCTCCACCCAGCCCCCCTCCCCCACCATTCCTCCCCTCCCCCCCTCAGTTCCAGGCAGGTCTTGTTCTGCCCTTATCACTGATTTTGTTGAAGAAAAGACATAAGCATAATAAGGAAGACAAAGTGTTTTTGCTAGTTGAGTTAAGGATAGCTATACAGAGAGATTCCTACTATTGTTTTCGTGTACCGGCTGTCTTTAGAATGCTCTTTATTCGGGATTTATTTCCCAGTAATTAGATTCTTAATCTTAAATGTGCTAAAAGTTTGAATGTTTTTAGTTGTGAGATTTAATGTATATGATAACATATGTGTGTGTGTATATATATATATATAATATATATATATATACACTATATCTAATATATATGTAAAAATACACATACAGAAAAAGCATACATATATGGATATATAGAAAATGTATACCTAGAATGTATATTCTATATGTATATATAGAAATAATGTATATATAGAAAAATATACATGTATTCAGATAGATGAAATTTTTCACAAACCAAACTCACTTGGGTAGCCAGCTCTTTTTTTTTTTTT